GCATTCCCCTGGAGGAGCTGGAGGAAGTGTCTGGAGAAAGGGAAGTCTGGGCATCTTTGCTTAGACTGCTGCCCCTGTGACCCGGTTCCGGATAGAGGAAAATAGATGGATGGATGGATTGATAATATATTAAAGCAGTGGTTAAGGAAATATACTAATGGAAAAAGCAGTGGGATAAGACATTTAACAAAACTGACAGCAATTAAAAAAATAAAAACCATGGTTCCAGTAGATCAGTACCAACAAACACATCTCACCTGACTGCCTGTAAATCGGCAGGGTGACAGCACAGGAACGGCGTCTCCCTCATACTCAAAAGACACTCCGCTCAAATGAGATCTGGCCAGACCAACCAGCTCCTCGTGCTTCACACCTGTACAGGAAGCATGATGGATGTACGCCAAGTCATTGCGGGGAAATTCACAGGCTACTCAAGTACCTCCTCCCAGCATGGGGTCTTACCTCCAGCAGCAGCCAGCACCATGCGAGGGGCCTTGTAGTGGCTGTTGATGTAATTCACTAAGTCCTGGCGTGTCAGATTCCTGGGAGAATTGCATATGAGCTTTGTCATTAATTTACTCAAGGGTGTAGAATTTAATATTATGTAGAACATATATAGTGATATATAAAAAAAAGTACTTTATCTGCATTATGGCAAAGTGAGTGTTGTGTTTGTTACCACAACTGGCATCATTACAATGCTGCACTGCTTTAACAGCTCTGTGCTTTTGATGAAAGCACTTCCAACTTGTTCTAAGGTTGTGACTCATGTTGAAATGCACTGTATGTATGTGAGCATGTATGTAGGTGAGCATGCAGTTCCTCGCACCTGGCATTGCTAGAAGGTCCAAACACACTGTGTCCCATAGGAGTGCCCTGGAAGGCTGTTGCATACAGCATGTTCAGGCAAACTTCCTGCAGGTTGCTGTCAAGTTCCTCCAGTTCTCGCAGCACCACGCTCCTTTGCTGCTCGATCTCTGCCTCGTTCAGCGAGCAGCCCTGCACCACCTCTGAAAGCAGCTCCACGGCTGGGAAACAGAGGACAGATGACTGCTCACAACTTAGGAGATATGCACACACTTTGTGCTAAAAAACTGTGAAATCATAAGTCACTGTCACATACAGTAGAAGGCCAGATAACTGGGATTCTTTATCAGAGTTTCTCAATGCCTTTATCTTCCAAGTACGAATGGGTTTGATTTAACTGCTACAATTAGAGAACACATTTTGTTTCACCGCTACACAGGTCTTCTCACCTTTAGGCAGGTCTTTGGCTAGGGCCTTCATGTAGTATGCCGTGTGCTCCCGGGAGGTGTAGGCACTCAGGTGGGCACCCATAGACTCCACCTGCTGCTCCAATGCTGTCTGAGGGTATTTCTTGGTTCCCTGGGAAACACGGAGAAATAGGAACACAAAGAACTGTATAAAGAAATGGTTTGGCATATTTTAAGTGGACTCATCTTAAATGGATAAAAAAAAAGTTGTGGGGTACACTCAGGGCACAAAGTCTACCTTGAAAGCCATGTGCTCCAAGAAGAAGCCTGCTCCATTGTTCTTTTCACTCTCATAGCGACTTCCAGCGCTGATCCACAGTCCAACCTGTGACAGAGAAGTGACGAGAAGAATGGGGGGCATGTTAATCTGCAACAAGCTACTCATAAGACATGGTTTTAAGGGGACAGCCCACTGCTGCATTCTTACAGTGCATGTGGCATGTCCTGTCTCCTCTGATGCAACTCTCAAACCATTGTCCAGAGCAGTGAGGCGAGTTTCAGGGGCTGCTGCCAGACTCTGGGCATAACTGACAGAGGCTTGTCCGCGCCTCAGTGACAGCAGGATGGGCTACAGGAGTAGACACACCAAGAGGTAACACTGTTAAAAACACTTAAAATAACATGTTTCACATTAAACTCCTGGGCGAGTATTACTAATTACTTGCCTTGTGCAAGTTTTTTAACTTTAGCTGTCGATTGCTTTCTGGTTCAACTGATTGATTTTATTACCTATCAAAAATTAAAAAAAATAAAAAAGAGTATATTTTAGGTCCTATTTGTTTGTAGGATATCTCAAACTACAAAACGGGGATTTTAGAACAGTTCTGCTATATTGTAATTGCACTTGTTCAACTGCAAATATGATGGCACATTTTTTTTACCTTTATTTCACAAGGGAAAAAATTCCACTCAGGTTCAGAACATCTTTTGCAAAGGAGCCTTTGCAAGGAAGCAGCAATACAAGTTACACATAAGAAACATATGCACCGATCACCTATCACTAAGAAACACACGGCATGGATTAAATACATATCTGTTTTCTGATGTTAAAGTAATAAATCTTAGATGGGAGGCATGTGCTCTTTCAGTGTGTTCTATTTCCTCAAAAGTATAATTGAGCAACAGCAAACTTATGTTTGGGATCTATTATTAAATGAGATGCTTTAAAAATCGTACCTGTTAATCAATTCACATGCAAAACAAGAGCAGAAATGTTTGACCCAAGACAACATCTGGCAGTCCACTGCCAAGATTATCAAGCAAATGATATGACTAATATAAGGTAAACTAGAAGTCAAACTCAGAATTATATCTATTCAGACGTGTATAAACACGTAACATTGTATAATCCCTTTACTGTTAAAACTTGATTTAATTTTCAAGTAGTATTCATAAAATGTCCATTATTCCGTAAACTAAAATAAAAACACGTTTATTCCAAATATATGTGTATACAGGATTACTGCAAACTCTGAAAACACAGCTATAAGATTGACATTATTAATGTAAAAGTTAACGTTACCCGTTTCACTAAATTAACGCTGTTAGCCACGGAGCTTAGCCATGGTACGAGGGCAGTAAGGACAAGTGACAAATTGTCGAACTTGTGAACGACTCAAAACGACTGAAACGACAACCAGCATATCTAAATAACACACAGGTAAAGTGGATGTAACATATAGGGTCGCTGTTACAAGACACACTGCCTAATTTGACAGATGACCTTGTTCTCACTTCTAGCTAACTGGTGCTAACCGATTAGCTAGCCCCTTTCCGATTCTGTACTGCGGAGAGGTCAGTTAACTACTTAGCTCCCTATTTAGGCAAGCAGTCGATCCTTTCACATAACTTTCAACTTTTTACCAAAGAAAAACAATACTGATATCCAGCTTGTACAAAACCTTTTCTGCTTAACCTATGCATTTGTACATACACTGCGGGTCTTGGTGAGAACGCGACCCACAGCACTTCCAAATCTGCAGACGGACGACGCCATCTTTCAGTACAATTACAGAAAGCAGTCCCGGATATCCGTCTTTCGCTTCTTCTTCGCTTTCATGTCAAAATGTTGCTTGCCTCTTCAGTTGGGTAATATCGCCACCGACTGTCCATTATGTGTTGTTTAGGGTGAGGTCTGTGCACTATATTCCAACCCTGTCAGGCTTGAAAAAAAAAATACTATCTACATGAATCCCTGTCAAGCCAAACATGAGCCGTCACCAGAGGTGTGGTGCTATCTGATTAAGTACCACCGATTACGCGCGTGCATGCGCGCGCACTGTTAAGTTGTAGCTTGATTCGAGCGCCATATAAACACTTTTCCTAAGGCGGTAATTGCCCATACAATCAAATACTGCCTTTATTCTCTGATGTGGCAGAATAACAATATGAATTTGCAGCCATTTGTCACAGGTTGAATGCTATAGCTATAGATAATCTTATTACTAGGGCGTAATCTCCACAGGGGATAGGTCCCATCCAAAATATGAAAAAGGAAATTTGTCCCCCCGAATATTTGTCATGACCAGTCATCAAATGCCTCCAAGAGTTAAACCGACTCCAAAACCTACAGAATGTTCACTGAGCTCCTCCTGGTTCATGTTGGTTTACATTTCAAATACATCAGCTGCGCAAGGGGCTCACAACTGGTCAGCAAGCACCAAAGTTTGGCCATCTTGTTCCCTTCTTGTATCATGTGTACCTGCTCACTCACAGGTACACAGGTAAAACAGTCTGCTTAAATCTCAGAGTCACTTAAGTTGAATGTAAAGTCTGTTTCTGCTGCTGATCATCGCCATCTGATGTTTGTCTCCATGGCCCCTCCTGGAGATTACAATAAGCCTAGTTTGTCAGTCTGGATGATCAGTGATAGGTAATCAGTCTGTCAGTTGTCTTTTGTAAACAGGGTCTTTATTCAACACTAAGCTGTGTTGCTATGAGCCATCTATGTTATGTAGTTGGACAAAACACACAAACACTCGGTGACAATTGCACATCATCTTGGGTGAAAAACCACAATGCCTTGTCATTACTGCTTCCTCATCATATTATCACTAAAACAACATCACCCTCTGGGTGGGGTCCGCGCAGTCCGCCCAGGCGATTCAACTATATTCCAACCCTGTCAGGCTTGAAAAAAAATTGAATGATTCAATTTAAAAACTTAAACAGTATAAGTGAAAAACAAGCCACACCAATCTTTTAATTTCTGACTTTATTATGAGGTAGACCAAAAACCCCTACACAATGAAAGCTCTAACTGAAGGGGCATGTAAATGATGAGATGAACAACCTTTTTTTTTGATTGTTTTAGGCACTCAGCTGGTGACTGTTTGTCTGGACTGTTTTGAAATGATCATCTCCTAAAGATGGACCTTTGTTCCTCTCTGTGTTACGAGGCTGGATTTTCTCTGAGCAGACTTTTGATAATTCTGGTCTCCTCTTCCACAAAAACAGAGTGAGACTGGCCATTATTGGGCAGGTGGATGAACTTGTTTACAGGCTTTGAAAGGAGAAGTGTGAAGGTTTCAATAGGGTTGGGCACAGATGGCTCAGGAGGAAGAGCAGGAGGTGTTAGAACCCCACCACTGGTGGTTTTGATCAGAGTCTCTGCACTCATCAACAACACTTTAGGCAGGGCTTTTGCTTTTTCCACTGCAAGATCTTTGTCCTTGAAAGGGCCCCTGTGTTTTGGTGCTGAACGGTTGGAGGACCTCAGTGGAGGAAGTAGCCAGGGGCGTTTGATCTTGACACCCTCAACAAGTAGGTTGACTCCTAAATACTGTGGCACTTGTACTGCTGCCTAAGATGAGAAGTGGCACTTAAATGATGACTATGACCTGGAGAAGCAACAAAACTCTTCCTTACCTGCTTATATATGAGTTCAAAGTCTCCTGTGTTTGCAGTGCGGTTAATTCTCCGGTCCAGAATGACTCGTAATGTGTCCTTCTGAACAGCAGAACAGAGGCGGGCTGTCACAGGGGTGGAAGGAGCCATGGTGGGACTGCAATTGATTTCTATCAACCACGGACGCAGGTCACGACCTAAAAAAAAAAGTCAAAATATCCAAACTGGTGATGATTCCTGGACATGCAGTAACCTCAGGGCCTCATGTTTTTCTCCACATCCTCTGGTCATATTGCAGCAGCAGGAGGTAAAATATACCTATTAAACCGGTGCCAGTCGAAAAATTCCACTTTTACAGTGGCACTGGTGGGTGTCAGGCAAGCTAACATGAACGTGCTGGGAGATTATGCCCATTTAAGGGGATCCTTAAACTATCATGTAATACTTTATTTTGTTAGAAAAAAAGTCTCGCAAGAGTTTGCAAGACATGTATAAAACGAATTGCTTCTGCACAGAAATACTAGAACATATGTACACCTCATTTTTTGAGCTTTAGGTCATGACTAAGATAATAATTCACCATTGTAACATTGTAGATAAGTCAGAAAACAAGGAAAAGCATGCCATGGGCTCTTTAAGGTACATAAAAATATGAATATGCAATTTGAAATAGACCTGAATGCTATGTTTATTCTACTGCCATATAGAATTTTGTAGCTCCTAAAAAGCAGTTTTAATATATGAGATCAAGACTGTTGAGACAGGCAGTATAACATATAACACAAAGTAACATTAACAGTGATTCCATCCTACCTAACATGAAATCAGCACCGTAGAGCTCAAAGGTGTTTTTGCGTGACTCTATCAGATCCTGTGTGGTCTGTAATGCGTGTATGACAGCCTTCTTCATGCCCGGGACTACCACTGTCTCCCACTGAACTTTGCAACCCCGGTTGGACAGAAAGGTCCTGAACTGGTCATCTGACCACATGTTGTGTGCTGGGATTCCTTGATGTCGTTGTTGTGAGGGTCCCAGGTGCTTCTGGATGGAGTTGTTGCACAGATGGACAGAGCTGAGAAGGTGGGAAAGAGAAGTCAAGATTAGAGAGACAAATGAGAGGAAATGGGTTACAATTAAATTACAGAAGGTTAATGAGACAGAGATAGGAAAGCATAACACCAGCGGGTCATGACCTCTGTTACCCTGACTGCCTCCAAACTACTTAAAAAACTTCCTCAACTGTATGTGAAAACATCATAAGACATATGGTGACAGGCTTAGTTATGCAGAAATCAGATTTTGATTTTTAAAATCAAATACAGAATAAAATTTCTTCAGCCTGAGTAAAATATTAATAGCAACACCAAGAGGGAATGTTATACAAACTAGAATTACTGCCTTGTGGTTGTATGCCGATGCCAACCAGTCAAATTCACAGGAATGAACAGACCTGAGGTAATTGACCTTGACCGTTGACCACTAAAATCTAATCAGTTCATCATTGAGTCCAAGTGGATATTTGTGCCAAATAAGAAATTCCCTCAGGGTGTTCCTGAGATATTGCATTCACAAGATTGGGCCGTACAGACAGGCAACCTGAAAACATAATGTCTCCAGTCGTGGCTATCACCAGCATGGAGGAATAAAAATACAGCAATTTTTTTAACTACCCACTTGATTTGCCTAATTCAAACTGCTGAAACCTTTAAATTAGTTTTGCAAAGCGCTGTAATGCACTCTTCCCCAGTGACTTTAATTGAAATCAAATTCACAGTTGGTACAATATGAATACTAGTACCAAAAAAATCATTCAATGTACATATGGGCCTGTGAATATTGTTTTAAGACAAATTCAACTTATAAAAGCTGATAGTTATTGGCTGTCTTTGCTGTATTTAATGTTAGAAACACTAGGTGGTCTTCTGTATGACTGCATTTGCAAAGTCCATCTGGGTGTTTGGCTATTATTTTCATATCGTCACACTTCCTCACAGTTAACAGTCACTTTCTGCTTGTGTTCTCTTCTTTTCAGGCTTTCTGTCAGTCTGTATATACTTTTCCTTACAAAGATTAAAGCACTCCTTTGTTTTTCCAACAGAATCTTTAGATCAATACATTTGTACATGAAAGGAGGGACGTTTGATTTGATTTGATTTATTCATTCAAGCATGTAAAACAGATGATATGTCAACACATGTAATTTCACACATATCCAACAATAATAATCTAATATCAATTTACTTATACCTAGTACATGCTTGAACGGAGTAGGAAGAAGTTAGACTTATCTAGTCCTACCCCATGACATCATTTTACAACTTTTAAATCCTAAGCAATATCTCTAGATAAATAATTATCCTCTACACCACACAAGTAATATACTACAGAATTATTACAGTGTTAACATTCTACATAAAACATTCATAGTTAATTATCTTCTACACCACACAAGTAATATACTAAAGAATTATTACAGCGTGCTAACATTCTTACCCCACACCCACAATGTTTCATCTGATTAATCATTAAACCTGTTCTTGCATGTATCTTGATTGACACATACCTTTATACTTATGTTTAAACTATTTTTTATGTCCACATTTAAATTATTCCATAGTTTTTTGGTTGTACGTATAGCATGAATTTTTAAGTTTAACTGACCCCTTAACGTTCCAGAAGCAACTTGTAGTTTTTGGGTTTATTTGGCAGTCAGTCATCAAATACATATTTAAAAATGCCCAGGGGAGATAGCTAACAGTCATTTTCAAGTCATGCATGGATATAAAATTAGATCTCCCACGAAAAATGGCACGTATAATCACAACCCACAACATATGCTGTCTCTCACTTCCCCCTTTTCATTTGGTTTCACATCTGCTTCACATTTTGATTTTTCTTCCATCCCTCTATCATTATGACTGTCTTACCTGTCCAGCGTATCCAGTGAGTAAGGCTGCGTAGAGAAACGCAAATAGCACTTTTTATAGAACCACACAGTCAAAGGGTTCCAATCAGTGACCAGGAACCACTGGCGCACATCAAACTTGGTGCCATGGACCAGAAAGGGACGCTCCAGGTACTTCTGCACCACCCACTTACTGTCCTTAATAATGGTTGGATCACTGTTCACCAGCCTGAGGATCTGATCTAGGCGCCTGGCACATTTGATACCTAGAGGGCAGTTGAAACCAGTCACCTAGAACTTTATCAGATATTATACCAAACTGTCTGATAGCAGCTTACTTCTCACCTCTTCCCCTGGACTTTGCTCCAGGTTTGATGATCCAGATGTTGTGTATGCCATCTATGTCCAGCTGTGGACTGACCTGCTCCAGCCTCTGCAGCATAGTCTCACAGCACTTGACAAAATGTTCACTGTTCTCTAGCTCTGCTCCACCACTGAGGAGGAAACAGAGACAGCAGTACTGTGCAATACTGAACAGCACTTTGGTTGATTTTTAATCTCCACCAAACACATACAATGTACTCACTGAACAACAAGGTAGTAATTGTCAATAAACTTGGCCCACTCCTCAGTTGTAAGTGTTTGTGGTGCCTCCAAGCTTATGTCTATGTCACTATGCTCCAGACTCTCCAGAAACTCCTGGCATACTTTGAGCGCTTTTTCAATCATTTGAGAAAGGACCACTCGTGTAGATTTGCTTTGTTTTTGCTGATCTGAAGGTGGAGAAACAAAAGTATGTCTCTCTTTATTTAGCTACATTGCGTAAGTGCACAGTCACAAGAGAGATGGTCATACCCTGAAGGGAGCAAATGTTATGGCTCATTCCCTCTCCCTGAATACCCTGATCCCTCTCCACAATGTACTTCAAAAGACTGGCGCAGGCTGTCCTCCTGTAGTCCTCTACACAGCGGACAAAGACAGTGAGCTACATATTCTAACATTTCCCTGTGAATAAAAGTAGAAATGTGCCAGAAACATAGGAGAAAGTGCTCAACTAAAGAAGTGATAAGATCTGACCAATGAAAGCATGCTTCTCATCCTGTGCTCCTATTCTGTAACAGCGGGGGAAGAATGTGTCTGGGTTAGTGGAATCAAACCAGTGCAGGTTCCTCAGGTTCATACACAACCCCACCTGTCAGAGAACACAAGAATTACAGTGGGTGGGACAGTGGGCCACTGAGGAGGCATCTTCTGCTGTAACAACAATTGGATATACTGTACCTTGGTGGTGAAGCTGCCTGCCTTTGCGAAATGATTGGTAATCTGTTCTTTTTGCAAGCTCTTGGTGCTGATGGCGTCCCCACGGTTTGTCCAATAGAAATAAACCATTTCCTTCCGCACCAGACGAGACTATGGAATGAAAAGATGGGAAGGATGAGAGCTATATTAAAATTTGGGAATATTACATTATGGTAGAATAAACCCTAAATTTTGAGCACAACAATCAAGGTTAGCAATGTCTCACATTAGCCACACAACCTTAAAGTTTATTTTTACCATGAGATCATGTAGCTCGTCTGGATTCTGTTCTTTATCGACATTGCCTGAGAAGAAGGAGCAATGTTAATCAGTAGATCAATACAAACATAATCAGAGGAAAGAAAAAAACTTTTCACATTTACATCTAGCTCACCATCATTGTCACCATCACTGTCACCTGCATCAACAGAGCTGGTTCTGCTGTCATTGCTGTAATGCCGGTGTGTATGCCTGTTGGGACGATGCATTCGCTGCTCAATCCAGCCTCTGGCCCTAAGTGCCTCCCTGATGACAGGGTAAGGGCCCTCTACAGAGAATACCTTATGCATCTGAGAGAAATGAAAGCAGACACTTGGATAACTTCATGGAACAACCAGAAATGTATGTAAATGCAGAAATGTTTTGTATTTATCCAGTAATCTTAACTCACCTTGACAGCTTTTTCTACAAGGGCCTTGGCTGTCTTCAGTCTCTTTGGGTGAAGAACAGGTATGCTGACAAAACTGTGGCGAACTTTGCCCTTAGGAGGTGTAGCTGACACACACACAGACATACATGCATATAGTAAACAAAAATATAAAGCCTGAAGTGCAAATTATATAATATATATATAATCTGTTGTCTGCAAAGTTCATTATGATCATACTGTTCATACTGTTCATGCAGTACAAAGTATACTATAATAGGTGAATGAACGGGCTCATTCAGTATGTTGGTTGTCAACTTGCAGAGTATACTGTATCTACCTGTTTGCAGACTTTTGGCTTCATCTTGGTTGTACTGCTGGACCACAGCTCTAACCTGCTGATTCTTAGACAGGCCTCCAGTTTCTCCTGCAATAACAGTACCATCGAGATTGTTGTCATACATACAGTGTATTAGAGCAATGGCTCATGTAAATACATTTGCTAGCTGTGTCCACAAATTGGCTGATTAATAAGAAATAACATCTAAATGCATAAAATGCAAAAATAAAATATGAATATATGTATGTGGTAGGCACACCATGTTAATCACGACTCCAAAGACAATGTCGCTTGGAGCGAAAAAGAGCAAAATGTTGAAACTTTTAATACATAGCTTTTGAGTTCAAATATTCAACCCCCTATCTGAGTGTGACATGAGTGTCTCATGATTAATTCAGTGAAGGCCCAGTCAGTTTTTTAATGTGAATGAAAATGAAGCAATTTTGTGTTTCTTATCCTGTCATATATACATACTGTAGATCTAGGCCTGTGTAACTGATGCAAAACTTAACAATCACTTTAGGAGGGATGAATTATGGGAATGGGGGCCACCCTTTGATTAAAGATTTGAAGAAACTACACCCCTGTGTATTTCAGTATCACTAATCTGGTCCTTGGATGGTTCAGACAAAGAGAATGTTTCCTTTGTTGTCTTCTGTCTCTCACCACTGTCTGGGCACTGTGTACAGTGTCTGCCCGTACACTGGTGCTGCTCCTTGTCCAGTTGGACTGACTGTTTGGCCTCCATGCTGACATCAGCTCTAATCTTTCAGTGGACCCTCTTCTTCAGCTCAGCTTCATAACATTAAACAAGAAGTGCTGCAGAGGAGACAATCATCATCATCATTTATATGGCAAAGGTGTGCACAAATGTCATAGAGATAATGTTGTATACACATTGATTCAAACTCTGCTATCATGCATGTTTTCCTTCTGGTCTTGTAGATATGTCTCTCTCCAAGTGCAGTAGACTATAAAGTGGGTCAAGTTGCTGTGATGGAAACAGACTGACTACATCTGTCAGCTTTGTACCCAACACCCCAGGCAGGGTCCAATACTCAGTCTGACTTCCTTTAATTACTTGTTGAACAAAGGCCCAGGACTGTTCCAACATATCTCAACAAGAAATATTTATTCAAACTGTACTGTTTTCTATTCTCCACAGAGATCACTCACGTCAGCCTATACTTGGTACACAAAAATCTTTATATCTTGCTATAAAGCCACTACAGATTATTTTAGTTTAACTAGCATCACCAACTGTCCAAAACAAACCATAGCACTACTGTGGCATGGTACCATTCTCTCTCTTTTTAAAACTAACTAGCAAAATATTCAGCTGAACCAACACTTCTGCTCTCCTCTACTGGGGCGTTGAATGTTACGGTACAATATTTCAAGAAAGGTTTTGACATCATGGTTAAATGTTTGCTCCTTTTACCTGCTGAGGTCCCCGGATGTTTTAGCTACTTCAGTGCCTGTGTTCTGTCAAATTGTGCTACCTTGTTGAGATATGCTACCTTACTAGCGGAGTCTATGGCTTCACTAACCCCACCCCATGCCTCACCCTAACCCTAACCACTTTGTGAGTCGTAGGTAGCACTAATCCAATAGGTAACAAAACTTGACACTTGAGTTTCACCTGAGCAACGCACGGTGGGCAGGACTCTTAAACTTTACTGTTACCATGGCAACATGTGGCTAGCTCCACACCAGAGTAAACGTCTTTTCAGCGTTATTTGTAGACGTCTAGATTAAAGTAACTTAACATTTATATATGACCGTGGCGACGTTTACTTTGACCTTCTACCATCAAATTTTAAAAGAACACTGCTTATCCTCTAGCCTACATGCCCATTAAAATGTGAAATAAACATGAGTTTACTTTTGACTCCCAGGAAGACTTTCTGCCTTAGACTACTCAAATTATTTTTGAAAGCGAAACTTTAATTGCGGTATTACTTCTTTACTAGCATATCAATTGTCAAAATACTTAGCTGATATTTCCTACTACATCATTTTGCATTTCCCCTCTATAAGTCGCCATCTTGGCTACGTCTACTCACTCACTCATGAAGAGGAGCTGCTGTACGTCATGGTGTCATATGCGGACTAACTCAGCCCGGGTAAAGTGTCCGCACGATATTCAAACATACATAGTTATTAACTTGCAGTGGTTTTAAACGGTGTCTTTACAGCCAAGTAAAACGAAATGGTTTATGAAATTTACTGAAACTAACATGCTAATAGAGAACGTGAAGTCACTCCGTGTTGAATGTTGGCACAGGGACGCTATTTTGATAGAGGCGCTGATCGTTTAGATCTCACTTTACTGACTATGATAATTCAAAATGGATAAATGGCTTACTGTAGCTGACTCGTAGCGGACCTAGGGATCCCGAAAGCGATTTCACGTTCTCTAATGTTAACTGTAGAAGTGTTAGCGTCACTTAGCTTGAGCTTGACCTATGTTATGTTAAACCAGGTGGCTGAAAAATTCATGTTATCGGTAAAATGTGTGGAAGAACTGCTTGCACTCTTGCGCCTGACGAAGTGAGACGAGCCTGCTGTTACAAAAATGGAAGAGGGCAGTGGAGAAAGCCGCGCTGGAAGGATGGAGATGCGGACAAATACCGACCCTCTTACAACAAGAGCCCCCAGTCCATGAGTCCAGTCCTGCTGTCCCAGAAGCATTTTGATAAGGTAAGCGCAACTATATCGTTCGCTTTCTCAAAGAGTGAAACTCCCAAATAGGGTTGCAGTGATATGAGATTTTCACGGTATGATAATCGTCTCAGAAAATCGCGGGGTTTCAGGATATTATGGTCAATCTGCTTAGACTGCTGTCCCCGCGACCCGGTCCCGGATAAGAGGAAGATGAGATGAGGATATGATGGTATTACACGATTACTATTACTATCAGCCAGGACCCACAGAAGAATGAAAAATGTCTTTTTTAATTACAAATGATTTTTAATTACAAATGACTGTACCAGTTGATTGAGCTGGTTTGCAGCGTTAGATTGACCCTAAAGAATAAACAGAGTTCTAAAGATGATAACAAAATGATATATAACTATAACACGTAAGACATGTTAGTTTGCATGTTAGCACCAGTAGTAGAGGAAGCCTTCACAAGTACTGATATCACACTGCAAAATATCCCACTCTGTTACAAAACGTATCAATATTATTAAAATATTAATAATGTTAAGTAAAAGTAAGTATTAACACAAAAATGTATGTTCCCAGCAAATATCGAATAGTATTTTAGCTTGAAATGCCCATCCCTACTTGAGAGTATTATATAGCATAGATTATAATGTTATTGTGTCCACTCCTTGTATGTCTTCAGAATGCTCCTGTGGATGAATGTGTGTTGGCCACTATGCGTTGGGGTCTAATACCTGCTTGGTTCAAGGAGAATGACCCGAGCAAGATGCAGTACAGCACCAGCAACTGCCGCAGTGAGAATATATTGCAGAGGAAATCATATAAGGTGTGTACAGTTTGAGACACTGCTGAATGGCAAGCAACATACCTTTGATCAGTTTGTTTTATGTGTTGTAGGTCTTGAGACACACAAGTGTTTTAATCACTTTATTTTCTCCCCAAAGGACCCTCTGTTAAAGGGACAGCGGTGTGTCATCCTGGCTGATGGCTTTTATGAGTGGAAGAGGCAGGAGAAAAACAAGCAGCCTTTCTTCATCTACTTCCTGCAGACTCAGGGACTCAGGCAGGATAAAACAAAGGATCACAACACAGAGATTTTAGATACAGGGTGCCCTCCAAAGAAGGCCTCCCCTGGCCTGGCAAAGGTTTGCATTGGGTTCTCTGTAACAGTAGAAACACCGTAAACATTTGCTCTCAATACAGAACAAAAGCAGAGAGAATGCAGCTATGGTGGAAATTATCATGGCTGGAAATTTCATGTGTGAGACAGGAGTCAAGCCAAAAACATACAGGTGTTTCTTTAGCATTCAAATCATGCAGTATACCATCATCTGGTTTGATTTTAATGTTAGTGCCAGGTTGTGGACTGTGAATATCAAACAACTGCAATGTCTTGTCATAACATCTGTTATTTGTCACAGTTTAAGCATTAATATGATCATTCCCTTCTGCACTTTGCTGTGTGTTGGCAAGGAAGGGAAAGCACCACGGGAGTGGACTGGATGGAGGTTGCTGACGATGGCTGGACTGTTTGACTGCTGGAATCCTCCAGATGGTGGAGAACCCCTTTACACATACAGCATAATTACTGTAAATGCTTCCCCAAACCTGCAAAGCATCCATGATCGGTAAGGACAGTTGATGCGCTTTTAAAATTTTTTGTGTATGAATCTCTAAATTACTCCATGGTTGTGTTTCAGGATGCCAGCAATCCTGGATGGACAGGAAGAAGTGAGGAAATGGCTAGATTATGGGGAGGTGAACTCTTTAGATGCCCTGAAATTGCTCCAGTCTAAGAACATTTTGGCTTTTCACCCAGTGTCTTCACTAGTCAACAACCCACGCAACAGCTCTCCAGAATGCCTTCAGCCAGTGGAGCTTGGCAGAAAAAAGGTATTAGTTTTACTGTGGCATTTACTCACTGTGGCTGGAAAGTTTTTGCTATGCCATGTCAGCAATTAGGCATATTTCAGCTAATAAATCTGACCCTTGACCTTCTAGGAGCCCAAACCAACAGCCAGCAGTAAGCTGATGAAGGGCTGGCTGACGAGCAGTCCGCCTTCAAAGAGGAAGAGGTCTGACACACCTGAGAGTAAAGACCATAACAAAAAGGCAGAGACTCAGCCCAGGTCCACAGGCGCTCTTCAGCAGTGGCTTCAGAGATCCAGCAAGAAACCAAGAACCAAATGAAGATATGGACTTGGACTGAAAAGTAGTTTAAAAGACCATTTAGGTCTTATTTATTCAACTTTACTGTTTTTAAAGGTATGAAAAATAGTTGTTCATTTTTTTCACTGATGTTGCAAATGTAATAAAAATGTTCCACAGATACTGCTTTATACTTCAAGATTTAACCAATAAATTTCAGAAATACACAATATGCTTTATTCAAGATTTTTATTACCCTTATTACTTGAAACGCAAAGACATTTTGAAACAATGTAGATGCTATGCATTTATCATATTAATAATATAATAATGATGAATGCCAATACTTCCCCTCACATTGGATTCCTAGTTACAGTATGTATACTATCTTGTAATCTATAATGTATTTCAAAGTTTTAAGATAATAGAAACAGACAGTTAAAGATCTGATCAGTTAAAAGAAATGTCAAGCACTTAAATGGTTTGCCAGCATGAGCA